TAAAGGATTTCACCATTAACACCTCATTACCATTAGTTATAGATTGTGCTGAAAATGATTTTGTGAATTAATATGTAAAACCAGTAGGGTTGTTTTTAAAAAAATATAAATTTTAGTCCATAATACATATACTCTCTTCTCTCTATATAGGCAAAGCATTTAGGTATTATATTTGAAATTAATTGTTGCCACAACAAGCATTGTTGCTTCTAGTAAAATAGAAGAGAATAATTTTTAAAATTGGTCTTAGATTAAGGTCCTTGAAAATTTTGTTGAGGTCATTGAAAAGTCCTGGAAAGTCCTTGAATTTCAATCTCATCATAGAGTGGGAACCCTGAACAATGAACGCCCCCCCCCCTTAGCGGACCGTGGTAAAATTATCAAACGTTGACAGGTCCGCGGTGATGAAAAGGTTGGGGAACACTGCTCTAAAGAGTAGTAAAATGTTACTTAAAAAGAAATGTTAATGTGTGTTACCTGCACTTATGTAGCAGAGAATAAACTGTCAGTGTTAGATCTATTGGAAGGTATATGGGAAAACGTTTTCTTGGTATTATAAAATAAATACAGTTCCTGGCTAGATGCACTCTAAGATTCTAAGTAAAATCTCAATTATCTGGTGATACTATACAGCTTTATAGATTTTACGACACTGTAACTGGTTTACACTTTTTTACGTTCATGTTTTAATTGGTTAAATTAGATGATATATAATATAAATTTGACGATTGGATAAATTAAATTATATATTATATAAATATATAATATTTATTATATCAGGTATTATATTAGTATATTATAATAATTAGACTAAATTATTAGAAAAGACACACTCTAGCTACTTAATAATTACATGTTTTGCATGAGTTTATATGCAATACTTTTATATTTAAATATACATGTTATGGGTTTTTATTCAGGAGATTTTTCAATTTATTTTTAATGTATTGCATTACAATGTTAACCAATTGACACATGAACATAAACGAGTGTAAATCGGTTTCTGTCGCGTAAAAACAATAATGCTGTACAGTATCACTTGATAATTAAGGTTTTAAATAGACTTTTGTAATGCATCTAATAATTTGGTCAGGGGCTGTAGGTAAAAAAAAAAAAACTTAAATACAGGACTGTAAGCAAACAATGGAAATAATAGAACATCAAACAAAAATATTGGATACCACCAAGAGTTATCCTGGTGATATAGTTCAATTTACAATATCTAAGGTTCGCACTACAGGGAATGGTAGGAAATGCATTACTGCGACATTGAAAAGTAGTTCTTTGTTATTTTTAAATAAATTACTGTTTAAATATGTGTATAAATGTTGTGTAATAAGAAAAGTGATGAAAAAAAATATGATTTCTTTATTTTTTAAAGAAAACGAGCAGTAAATATTATAAAACATACATATGATTTTATTCATGATCAATGATTTCATGTCTATGTTGACTTTTCCTTCCCCCACAAAACACACATGTAGAATAAATTAATTTTCACAAATCTACAAAAAAAAAAAGAAAAATAATGTTGCTCATTAAAATGAGTATTTATGAGCATCTATGTATTTTTTTTTATGTAGATTTAATAAAAAAAAAAATTATCTTTTTAAATATAATTTTGTTAGCTATGTTTATTTGTTATAATTTTGTTAATTAAAAAATATTAATAAGAATCTGTTTTTTAAAAATTATAATAACAAAATCTGTTTTTTTAAAAATTATATCAAAAAATCAGCTTACAATTAGTATCTCAAATTAATTATTAGAAATGCTCTAAAAAAATCTTTTTCTTTTCTGTATCTTGTTTAAAATTTTAGTAAGATTCTGGCAAAAAAAAAAAAAATCAGCATTTTGTTTTCTTTTAATGTCAATACTGGCCACTTTCTCTCCTTTTATTACTACCTCATGCCTTAACTAACTTAATGAGTAACCCAGTTTCCATGAACACGGCTGCAATCTGGTCTGCCTTTCTCTCCAGTGGAAACTTGAGGTGAAATGGACTATAGAGTGCAGAGAAGGCAGATCAAAATTCGACAAAAAGTTTAAACCTTCATCCTGCGGCGGATCGATAAAGTTAGATGAAGATCTTCATTCAGCAGTGAATCTATAAATTTTGAAGACCTCCATCTAGCTGTGGATTGATGAAGAATGAAGATCTTCTTTCAATGTTGGATTGATGAAGTTTGAAGAAGATCTTTATTTAGTGTTGTATTGATAAAGTTTAGTTTGGGGAAGTTGTCCATCTAACAGTAGATCGCTAATTCTTCGAGTTGACGATAATCTTAGCTAAGCCTGAAAAATTTAAGTTTTTTTTTTTAGCCAACTAAGGTATCACTGTTTGTTGTAAAACTTTCTGACATCAACAGATTTGAAACTATTTTCATGCTTCAAAGTTTTTAAAACCCTTTCAGTATATATCTAAATAGGAATCTTATATTGAGCAAATAATTTTTTTTTTGGTTCTGTATTCTATTTTATAATTTTTAATTTTAGGTTGTGAAGTTTGCACAGAGTCACACGAAGCACGCGACATCGCGAAAATATGGCATTGCGCGTCGCGTCATCAGTCGCTGGATAGCTGACAAAGAAGTACTGCAAACAGATCTTTTAAATGCCACTCAACATGTCTTAAACGATAGCATCACAGAACAAGTTGATAATGATTTATTTAAATATTACAAAGAATTGAAGGAAAAAGGTGAGTTTTTTTTATTGTTTGTGTTAATAAATGTAAGCAAAAGTTAAATTCTTTTTTGTATCTATTATTTATTTGGTTGTTAAACTGCGGTAACCTCGCATTCTTTCTCAAATTCTTTTTTGTATCTATTATTTATTTGGTTGTTAAACTGCGGTAACCTTGCATTCTTTCTCACCTTGTTGATATGATATTCTTTTGAACTTCTCCCAAACTATATGGATGCAAAAAAGTGCTATATTTCAGATGATTTTTATTATAAGTAGTATGCAATATTTATTGGAATCTGGAAAATGGAATTAAAGCTACTCTAGTTTGGGAATGGCAATGGAATTTTGTATATATGTCTTAAGCCAGGGGTTGCTCAATCTGTGGCTCGTGATTTTAAAATATTGCTTCCTTAATCAATGTCAAATAGATAAGTATAGCAGGCGGTTAAAAAAGTTTTGCTCATAATAATAACAGGGCTGATTGTGCTCCGGAAAAAATCCGGATTTCCGGATTTTTCGCTAACCGTGATCCGGAAGTTTCCGGAGATCGGTACAGATGTTTAAAAAAATCATTGATCACAGAAGTTTCCGGTAATCAAATTTTCAAAGGTGGAATTTGAAAAAACACAGTTTTTTTTATTTGTTTGTAAGGGAGAGCCAGATGCTTTATAAGCTTATATTCAAGATTAATATTCATTTTTTATCAGTAAATAGTTATTATAATCATAAACTCTAGAAAGAAAGACATATTTGTAAATTTCAATTACTTCCCTAGGTCATCATAGGTATGTGTAAAATTTTAAATATATTTTAAGTAAACTAAGAATTATTGAGAAAAAGGAAAAAATCTTGTTTAAATTTTTTTTCTAATTTTTCGATTTAATATATTTTTTTTTTTACTCCAGAAATTTTCCGGAATTTTGACTTGGACTCACAATCACCCCTGTAATAATGTATTATCCGAAATAATAAAACATTTGTCATAATAAATCAAGGATAACAAAAACTTTGTAACTAAAGTGGATTTTTAAAAAAATTAGCCTGTCTTGAGATAGAAGTTTTTAAGTTACTTACCTCGGACATCTAGTTGACCACACTCAGAAACGATTAAGAATAATAGAAGAATCTTGAAGGTGCACATAACGATAGTTGGTTCGAAAAGAATAATTGAATTTTTTTTTATGCATCAATTTGAATTTGATGTACCTTTAAGTATAAATATCCCCCCCCCCCAAAAAAAAAGCAAATTGGTCTTGTAATTTTTTTAAATTTAAAATTTTATTGTGTTTTACGTTTTTATTGTATTCTATGTTTAAGGATAAGAGACAATGGTAAAATTATTAATAAAACTTATTCCACCAGTTGCAAAAATCAGGAAAATTTATTAAAATCAACCTGAAAAATAAGAGAATATTTTTACCTGACTGTTCCTGGCCACTTAAAAAGCGAAATAATTACAGTCACATTGATGCATGTCACATTATGTCAAACAACTGGAACTGATGTAGAATATTTCAAATATATGGTAACATAATTTTGATTAATTAAAAGATTTTGAAAAATTATGTTATTTTTAATTATTTTGCTATATTTTACTCCTTTACTTTTTGTACCATCTATTAAAACATTTTTGAACTAAAACCTAAAATTATAGAAAGGAAATTTAAGCCCAGTAACATGAATTTGCTGCAAATTATCGTAACTGTTTATAAATACTGTATAAACTGTTTATAAATACTGTACTCTTTATTGCGACCCTTCCATTGTCCCTCCCATTTGCTGTTTTGTAGACCAGGGCTCCCATGGGTTAGGGAGTGCAGGGAAAACCAGGAATTGCCAGGGAATTTCATTTTAACTATAAAAAGCAGGGAAAGTTGCAATTTGTTTACATGAAACCTAAAGAATTCCTATATCATACCTCGAAAATTACCAGTCTTAGAAGTCAATAACAGTAATCAGTTATTGAGATTCTGTTTAAAATTCTAACTGCTATTACAATTATTGTATGAAATTCCACCTTTAAGTGAAACTTTTCTATGTTTCCATTTTCATTCTATTATCTGTTTTTGCTCACAAAATCTAATATTTGATATTACAAATAAAGAAAATAAAAGTTTTCTGATAAAAAAAAATGTATAAAATAGATAAAGTATGGTATGGATTTTTATTAAAATTTATCTGATAACCTCATATATCGGGAAAAGTCAGATTTTTTTTCCTTCTGAAATTGAGTGGGAACCCTTATAGATGCAATATTATTTTAACGGCTATTGGACTGTCTAAACTGAACAGTTTACCAAAAATGGCTGTCCCTAACCAGGGTCCAGTGTAATACTACATGCTAAGAGCAAAAATTAATAATTTTAAATGGATTGGATAGATGGCAAAAAATGCTAAATTAAAATTTGGAAAAACACTTTGTTTGCGATAATTAAACATCGTGATGTAATTCTACAGACAGAAGAACTAAGTTTTTTCATTCCAATCTAGAAAAAGCACTGAAAATCTAGCACTGTTTCCAAATCTAGAAAACGCACTGAATGACTGGCTGGAATTTATGCGCAATATTAAATGATGCCATTTTAAAAATTTTAATTACTTTTTAACCTTTAATGTACTTTAAAGAAATAATACTCTATTTATGTGAAAAAAACTGCTGATTAGTCATTATCTTAATTTTATTAAAAGTACAGCATGTTTATAACTCCAGTATTTATAAAAAGTAAGTAAATGTTTGCACTCATTTTACGTAGTCGCAGTATAGCAACCTCGTGTTATAGCGTCCATTATTGCTTGTACCGTAGGGGTTTCTATATTGAGCTTAGACTGAATTTTAAAACATTCAATCTAATTGAGCAGAACCCAAATACTTAAGATTGTACTGCACTTAAATATATATTGTTTTTTACTGCTTAGAATTGCCTTTTTGCACTTAAAAATTTCACAAATCCATCTTTAATAGGTACAAGAGTGACTAAGAGTATGCTAATAACCAGGGCTAATTGCCTTTTTGAACAACAGAATGGTGCCAAGAGTGGTCCAGGCCTGATGTCAGCTACTAACGGCTGGTATAAGCATTGGGTTCTAAAATGGAAAGACCAGGGTGAGCAAATGATTATTGAAGATGATGACGCAACTGCTTCTAGTTCTGCTGTGAGTACTTAATGAAATGGGTTGTCATGGATGTAGTTTTTTTATTTTATTTTATTTAAGCAGTTATTTTATTGCACCAATTTTACTTATATAGCACTATATTTATGTTTAATTTCTTTTACTACATGGTTTTTGAATTTATCTGATTTAAGCAAGGGTTTTGCCCTCGCTTGTTCTTGTGATATATTAATCTTTGTTTTATTAGTTTTCTAATACTTTTAATGCCAATAAAATTTCTGAATTATTTAAAGTGTAGTTGTTTCTGCCTAATAAACTATCTTGTCTGGTTCTAACAAGAGAATAAAAGGAACTTTTCAATTTCAAAAAGAACTTTCTTTAAATCATAAAAATCTTTTTGTATAATCAAAGGAACTTACAAACTCAAACTGGGTGGAAAATTTTTTTTTATATCATTTACAACACAGTATGTATTCATTATAAGTACCTTGATATATTGCCCCTGTCAAGAGTGCATGAAAAAGGAAGTACAAAAATAATTAAATTGGTTTGTAGTTCCATTATAATATGGATTCGTTCGGGAATTATGTTTTCAGACAGTCGCTTTTTATGCATGATGCATACCCTCCAACTTATGAGGATTTTGAAAATAATTCTTTCTAGTGGTAGCTAACCAAAGTAGAAATTTTTAAAGCAAATGGATCTCTCATAAAACTTTTATCAGAACTTAAGAATCTAGCCATATGGCCTGCACTTTTATAAGTAATAGTGGACAAGTTACGCTAAAATAAATTTTTTTTTAAATATTAAGACATTAATTTTGCTACCGTCTGAAAAGAAGATTTCTGAAACTACGGAAATTCCGTAGCAGTTGGAGGGTATGCATGATGTGTAGCGTTTTTAAAAATTGCTATTTTTAAAAGTGCATTCCGTTGTACCGTCAGTCCATAGCGTATGAAACGACAATAATTTTACATGTTTGATGAGATACTTGCTGATCCGCGTGTACGTATACTAAGCCAGGTTCGGTGAGATACTTGCACTCTTTTATGTACAAATCTGCTGCATTTTGCAAGATATTCTCAATTTCAGACTTCATATCCCCCCTTCTGAAATTGAACAGAAAAATCTCTCGATTTTTTTTACTTTATGGTGGCTTATTTAATCAAGAAAATAAGTATTTATCATAAACTCTTAATTTATCCTGATCATGTAGTCTTTAAAAACTATTTTGCATTTTGTTAATGTATTTAGTGCTTAAAAGGTGCTTATTTTTTGTTGAAAGATTTGGCTACACACCATGTATAGTAATATTGCGCTTTAGAATTCATGATCAAAGAACATGATTCTTTTATCAATATCAATACTGCACTTAGTAATGCAATATCTTTAATCACACATTTGACCAAAAATCTTTTCACAGTAAAAATGAAGATGATATTTCAAGATTAATATGAAGTTTTTCTCTTCACCATTCTATAGTTCCTAATTCTACCTGATTTCTTCCATAGTTGCTACCATATTAAGTCAAATTCTTAGTTTTTGCATAGTTCAGAAATGTCTAAAAGAAACAAAAACAATTAGGAATGTTTCTATCCTTACTAAATAAGTTATTTACTCATATATTTATTTTCTTGAATTTTAAATAAGTATTAACTACTTCGCAGCAGAAAGTCAAATGTACTTCTGAGCTATTACTTTTTAGAGCTAATTCTATTGAATCTTGCTATTTTCTCCTGATTAAATTTAAAAAAAACTTTCCTTTTTTTTTCTTCCTTCTGTATATTTAAGACACTTCAGTGTTTCCATCGCAGAAAAGAAATGGGTGAGAATTTCTCACCCTTTCTCAAAAACAGGGTGAGATTTCAAAAAGTTAAGTGAGATTTCAAAAATTAAAAAAAAAAAACACAAAGAGACTTGAAAAAAAAATCATTTCTTTAATTATAATGCATTTTTAACATCTTCTAATTTTTAAAGCATTGAATATTTTTGCTGCATCATCATATGGAAAATGTTCTATATTTACTTTTTCATCAGCTATTCTCATTAGGTTGCTCAAATGCGTATTTGTTTCGTTTTGATCGTTCTTACCCACATTTGTTTCATTTTCATTTGTCCGTTTCGGATTAGAAGATATTGCCTTTACAAGGTATTTGTCCATCTTGCATTAATGCGCACAAAATTTGAATGTCTTACATGAAGAAACCTTACCTATAGTAAACACGTGGTTGCAGAGAAATGCGTCCTGAAAGAGGTTCGGAGGGATGGTGTTCTGTTGTTCTTAAAGGTTCTGAACAATACTGGTAAATAGGGAAGCTAGATAATTGGGCAGATGTTGAAAATAATGAAAGATCCAAGAAGAAAAGTGAAATGGATTTTATTCTAAATGGCTTAATGAGAAATTTTTTTCAAAATGCGAGAAATTCACGAATTTTGAAATTGGTTTATAGAATGCATGAATTTCTCGCGGTAATAATTTTTTAATGCGAGGAAAGAAAAAAATATGTGAGATTCTCGCGCTGTAGTGAAAACACTGCACTTTTAAAATATAGGAATGGTTATAAAGTAAGCTTAGAAGATAAACTTAATAGATAAAGTAAGAAAGAAAGATAAAATTTGTTAAAGTTAGGGTAACTGCAGATGGTTAAAATATGAAGGCCTCTTTTTTTCTACGTTAAACTGGATGTCTTAAACTTAAGAAGAGTCTACATTAGATGATGCGTAGCATTTTTAAAAAGTGCTCATAGGTGCTTATTTTCGATTTTCGTTTTTTAAACTCCCTTAAGGGTGCGTTTTTCATGGGAAGTTTTTGAAAAGTGCTTAATTTTCCCCTTTTTAAAAATGAGATTTTTTTCTTTACCATGTCGATTTTCGCTGCGTATAATGCAAAAGCTTGGTTTTCACAGTGTTTGATTCTACGTTCACCACAATCCATTTTGTGCCAACCATCGCTCCTGTAACGTATGATAGTGCCAATCATGTTACATATTTGTTGAAATACTTGGGAGTTTGCATTGCATCTACTGAGCTGGATTTGGTGAGATTACTGCATTCTCATGTACAACTCTGTTGAAGATTGCAGGATATTCTCAGTTCATTTTCCACTCTGAAATTGAACTGAAAAATCTCTCGATCTTTTTATGGTGACCAATATAATAAAAAAAAAGTTTTTTGTCAAAAAGTAGATACTTTATCATGATCATGCAAAGTCTTTGAAAATTATTTTGCATTTTATTAATGTATATAGGGCTTAAAAATATTTTTGAGTGCTTAAAAAGTACTTTGAAAGTGTTTATTTTTTGTTGAGAGATTTTGCTTTGCACCTTTTTGGTTACGTAAGTCTTAAACTGAGTTTAGCCAATTCTTCTTTGTGAAAGTCTAAAGGCAATATCTACAGTTGACACTTTATTTACTTGGCACAATGATGCTCATTTTTATGAAAACTTAAGTGTGAATATGAAGCAAGTGTACTGGCTATATCCTTAACCTGAAAGACATCTCAAATTTGTAATAATAATTGGCTTAAGTTTAGCCGATTATTTATCATTCTTGTTTTATCAGAAACACTTTCATTAAATGCTAATCACAAACCGGACATGTTGGTATACTGTAATTTTTGTATTTTATTTTCCTTTATTAATTCTTAAAAAAAAATATATATATATATCAAAAAATACTTATGCATAAATTTTTTTATTATTTCAAAGGGAAAAAAAAAATATTGGATTTTCCCTCTCATTATATTAGTAGCATTGCTGCTGAATTCTGACTAATAACTGGATTTGAGGTTCCCCAAAGGTGTTTCATGGAACCCTAGGGTTCCAGTGGTAGGGTGGCAGGGGGGTTCTGAGAGTTAGAATTTTTTGTTTTAATCTGTAATGATTTTTGAAGCCTCTAATTATCTTTATGTCTAATTGTTCATTTTAATCCATTATTTACTTTCTAATTAAGTTATTTTTAAGTAATTATTTGCTTAAAATGTCAGTGGGGAAAAAGAGAAAAATTAAAAAAAATTATTCTAATAACAATAAATTAAATAATATATGAAAAGGATTTATAAGAAATTGAATCTTTATTTCTGGTTGAACTTTTAAAATAAAGTAATTAAGTTCAACTGTTAAAAATTATCTGAAAATCATTATCCTTTGTAACAGTTCTTTTTTGTGTCGTCAAAAATCTCACAATTCATTTATTCTTTACTTATGCATACACTAAGAATTAATTCAGTAATGTTCCAGGCCTGCAAATTCTGATATACAATCTAATTTTAAGACTGTCATTGATACAATGATGAAAATTTTTTCTTTACATTGATTGTTGCCTAAAAAAACTTAATATATTTCAAATGGTTAATGAATGTTATTTATTAGAATGAGGTTCCGGCAAAGAAAGGTTGGTTGTTTCATAGACAAAAATATTTGGAATTTGTGATCTGCAGATTTCGCTATGAGATATTTTTCATACATTGACAGTGAAATCGATTTAAATTCATGCACCTTTGGTCTTAAAGGACAAAATGACAATTTCAAAAAAAAAAAAAAAAAAAAAAAACTTGAATATATTGCATGAAATAAAGACTTTAGTGGTAATTATAAAATCACAGCAGATTCTGGGATCTTCCTCTAAAAAAGAATTTTTATCCATAAAAATGACAAGAGAGGATTTAAATGCTTGCTCTCAAAGCAGTAAAAAAGAATTATAATATTTTAACACTTCTCAAAATTCAATTGTTAATCTTATACAGTCACAGTTGTTTAATTTGAGAATGTAGGAATTGAAACACTCCTTAAATCGAATCTAATTAAACTGAAGCTGGGATGTTAGAATTTCTTTTCTAAAAAGGTTGATTACTATTTAATATGTTTTATTCAATTAATAAATTATTTTTTAATATAAATTAAATTTTATGGAGAAATTTAAATTTTTAAAAACAAAATAAAAGATTTAATTTTTCTTAATTGAAATATATGTATTTAAAAATATTTTATAATTTAAATTTTAAATAATAATTTTTAAGAATCAAAATGTATTTACACTGAGTGAAATTTTTTTAAAAAGTAAACATGCAAGACATGATTCTGCATGTTACAAATATTTATGCTATAGAATGCCATAGAGTCTATTCAATGGTTTGGGCATGATTTTTTGTTTGTTATTTACTGCAAAACTTCACTTTTTTTCTCTTCATTGTATAAATGGAATTTTTTTTAAACCTTTTAAATGGAAATGAAATTTGCCCAAATGATTAAATACTTTTTTCATGATAACTTCAATATAGCAATATTTCTCATTAAATTCAAGTCATGCTTGTAATAACAGAGTTTAATGTAGACTTCTTTTTTACACTAAACCAACCATTCATTTAAAATTCTGTATCTCAATAAATCAGGGCTCCTAGTAAAAAGGCTTCAGCTTGCTTAAAAAAAGAAAAATTCTTGACCATATTGAGGAAAATGATATGACAAGCACATGGCTGTCAATTTTTAAAAAAATATTACTGAAAATTTTTGTGGATTTACCATTAAAACTGACCTCTCTATGGAATAGAATATGAAAACTAATATGTCTTTACTAAATTTAAAACTCTCTGAATACTGTTCCACTTTTTCAGAGCAATAGGCAGATGTAATAGGGTCCATAACTGTCTATAAATGTAATCACTATTCTAAACAATAGTGATAAACAGTAGTTTCCAGATTTGTTCAGATATCAGATTTAAAAATACATCAGTATTCATTTTATTTTCCCCCCGTAATGGTAGTTACTGTGATTTAATTTATTTTTTATAATTTACAAAATTTTATTTTTGTTTTATGTTAAATTGTGTACAGTTGTTTCCCAAAATAACTAAGAATTGATTTTAAAAACAGATTTTGGAAGAAATTTTTTTTTTTTTTAATTTTATTTTTATTCTTGTTTTGGTGTAACTTCAGGGTGGCCACCCACCTGGAAAACCTTGAAAACCTGGAATTATCAGGGAATTTTTTTATACTGGAAAAAACCTGGAAATATCAGGGAGATTTGGATAAAAACCTGGAAAAATCAGGGATTTTTAAAGAAAAGCTGGAAATTTTTCTTTAATGATTTTTTAAATTTCACTAATTTAAATTATTTGTTAATTTTCTTAATTTAAATTATTTCATCCATTATACCCTCTTTTTTTTAACGGAAATGTATCGCCAAACAGTTGAAATATCATCAACTTAGCGATACTTTGCTTGCATCAAAATTTGCTTCATTATAGTTCTGTTAAACTAGAATGCCATATAAAATTCTTCCACGGTTGCTAAACAAATGTGCAAACTTTTGACCGCTATGGGAATTTAGGAAAATTTAGGTAAGATTCTGGTGGAAAAAGGGATTAGGATATTAACTTCTGTTTATAAATTCTGTCCTTGGGCTAAATCCATTTATGGCTCAAGTTTGTTCCGATGCTTTGGCGGTTATTTTTTTTCTCTATTTTGACAAAATGTTTTTGTATTTTTAACTTTATAAAATTCTCCAAAAATTAGTTGGTTATAATTTTATGATAATAGATTTTATATCGCACTCTTTTTCTGAAAGCTTTTCTACTCCTATTCAAAGAAATCTGTGAATTATTTTTTCTGAGCAAACCAACCAATCACGCATTTTTTTACAATCGCTAACAGTAATGTTTGTCAACAAATTGTTACAATTGTTGCATTAATGCTAATTTTTTCTATTTCATTTTAACCTCTTATAACATATTTTAATTTTAAAAAAAAGGCTCCTTTGTTGGACACTATATATTTTTTGATTCAAAATTTTGTGCCAAAATATTAAAAAATAAATAAAAAATCTTGAAAATTGTCAAAATAAATTATTTTTTTCAAGATGTGTTAAAAAAATAACATTTTGAATAAAATATTTTATAATATAGACACTTTTCTTGTACACATCCTATACTTTATAAGAAAAAAGAAACGCAAGCCTGGAAATTTTAAGATTTTTATCTGGAAAACCTGGAAAAATCAGGGAAATTTGAAATCTGATTTGAGTGGCCACCCTGAACTTAAGATATTTTACTTATTGAACTGATATTAAAATTAACAATTAAAACGCCACTTCTTTGTCAATAGATTTCAATAATTCCAGAATAAAACTTAGAGGACCATGTTAGTCCCTTATTTCATTTGAAAGGAATTAAATGTTTCAAATTTGTTTGGTTTTACCAAAATTTTTTAAAAATTTTATTTATTGGTTCTATTTATTAATAGTTGTTCTGTAATAATTAATTTGAGTCATTTATTTGGTATGTATTGTGTTCTTCTGAATAGTAGATTAGATTAATTTGTTTAGTTACATAAGCTCAGTCTTAAATTGGAGCAAGTTATCATAATGAGTAATTTCTATCGTTCTACAAAGCTTTAAAGCATTAAATGAGACCAAATTAAATTTGAACAAAGAATTTCAGGAATAAATTTTAATTCCTTCGTAAGTGTTATTTGTTATGAGCACATTGCAATTTATTATCTATCCCTAAATCGATTTAAATTTTCAACATATTTATTTTAAAGTGGCTGCTAAAGTGACTATCGTAATAATAAGAAAAAAGAGAACAATTTGTACAAAATAGCTTTTTCTGCATTCGGTTGTTAAGTTGCAGTGTTAATTTTCAATGAGCTTGTTGACTGTTGAGTTACTGTCGAATACTGCTGAGTTAAAATAACATGGTTTCTAAATATTAGTGGAAAATGGAGTTTAAATTTGAGTCTAGCAGTTAAAAGTATGAAGAAGGGTAAATGTTTACAGGTGAAATTTGCTTCATTTTTGATGTGCTGCTTCACTGTTATGAGCTGTATTCAAACATGCAGGTTTTACTTATTCTAACATCTACTGTACAGATTGTTTTATCCCCCTGGTGAGCATACTATTAGAGAGAACAGAATAAAAATTTTAGTTTAAGACCATGATCTCATAATTACTGTGACTGAACTCCCAAATCTTTAAATAGAAGATTTTACATATTTTTTCTTTCAAAGAAATGTGATCTTCATAGTAATAATATTTAAAAGGGAGTCAGATTGAAATATTATTTGCAATAAAATCTAAAATCCTTTTTTTATTTAAAAAAAAAAAGAAACTTATCAAAATACTACATTTTATACGAACTTTAAACTTTAAAAAACTTTAGATTCAAGAAAATTAAATAACCAAGCAATTTTAAAATTAGAATAAAATTAATCTTAATAAAAGGAAAATTGTGACAAAAGTTGTGGATTTGAAAACTATATTTAGCACATATACAGGGCTGATTGTGCTCCGGAAAAATCCGGATTTCCGCAATTTTCGCTAACAGTGATCCGGAGATTGAAGGTCCAGACGTTTCAAAAAATCATTGATCACAGAAGTTTCCGGAAATCAAATTTTCAAAGGTGGAACTTAAAAACACAGTTTATTTTATTTGTTTGTAAGGGAGAGCCAGAGAGATACTTTATAAGCTTATATTCATGATTAATATTCATTTTTTATCAGTAAATAGTTGTTATAATCATAAACTCAAAGAAAGACATATTTGTAAATTTTAATTACTTCTCCAGGTCATCATAGGTATGTGTAAATGATATAGGTATGCGTAAAATTTTAAATATATTTTAAGTAAACTAAGAAATATTGAGAAAAAGGAGGAAAAAAATCTTGTTTAATTTTTTTTTTCAATTTAATATTATTATTATTTTTTAACTCAAGAAATTTTCCGGAATTTTGACTTGGGCTCACAATCACCCCTGCATATACTAAACGCAATACAGTGATAATGACGTTACAAACATTATAGACAAACAAAAGCTAATTTTCCACCTCTGTTGACCATTTATTGATCAAACTGACCTTTTATTGATTGAGCATAGATTACGATGGAAGGGACATGAAATTATTATATTTCTGGCTGTGGTTAATTCATTTCCTTAACTCCCTTTTGATACAGCTATAAAAGATTAAACTCATGTTAAAAAATAGTGAGAATTATTAATATGAGATTAATATAAAAGGACCACATGAAAATTAGAGCTGTAATAATGTTAGAGTTACCATACCTCAAATTATATTGTAGACTGTAGAAACTACTAAAATTAAATAAAGTTTCCTAATATTTTTTGTATTATTAGCATAACTCATGCTCTCTTCAAAACGTTGTGAAATATGATTTGCTGCTTTAGAAATTAGGATTTTTTTTAAACCAAATTTTAAAACTAGTTACAAAGCTTGTTACCCCGCTAACTTAAAAAACTGTAAAGTAATATTTTGAAAATGGAATGATTGCAGTAAGCTGTACATTTTTATGTCCTTTTTCGATTCCTACTGTTAGTTCACACTCTTCCTATATCTTTTTCAAATTTGCAATCGTTAGTAAAATACTTTTCCAAAAGATAAAATGGGCAGGCCACTTAGTAAGAATGGAAGAAGACCGTATTGTGAAAAAGATTTTTGATGCCCGGCCGACAGGAACACGTAGAAGGGGCAGGCCAAATCTCAGGTGGCTAGATACCCTGGAGAAAGATTTATCTATATTAAAAATAAAGAATTGGAAGTCCATTGCCAAAAGAAGGACAGCTTGGAAAGAACTACTGGAGAAGGCCAAGGCCCATCCTGGGCTGTCGAGCCAGTGAGGAAGGAAGGAGTAAAATACTTTTTATTCATCCACTCAAGTTCCAATCCATTTTTTTAAAAACTTGTAGAGGATGACATGTGATGTTAATACAGTTTTTACAAATATTAATTCATTGATTAAATTCAATTAATTAATTTTTATAGAGAAATTTTTTTTTAATTATTTAATAAAAAGTAACTAAAATAAAAAATTTTCTTTGTTGACCTTAGTAGGAATTGACTGTCATTTTTTTGAAATTTTTTTTTATATTACTTGTTTAGGATTGATTTTTTTGAAATTGTTTTGTCATTTTTAGGGCACTAAGTTAATATTATTAAAGAAAAATCCCTAATTTTCTAAATTTTTTGTTCCAGCAGCCATCTTTGACCCCTTTGGATTTACAAAATTCAAGAAACTCAGAAGGAGGAAGTTCTTTGAATGCATTAAAGCAAGCATACATGACAAATGCCATACTGAACACCATGAAACCTACAGAAATGGATCTTAAGATAATGTCTCAATTTCCTGAGTTGCTGCACGTCATTCAGCAAAATCCATCCATCCTGAATGCTGCAGCAGCTCAAATGCAGTCCAAAGAAGCTGAACTGTACAAGGCTTGCAGCTCCTCCCTCCAAGCTGTTATGAATCTTTGTAAAGATAATTCATCAGATAACAGTCTTAAGTCAAATCCATATTTAAATAATGTTGCTGATTCAACCATGACTGAGGATAAAAGGAAGGCTAGTAGTGTTAAAAAGAGAAGAGAGCGCTATTCACCAGATTTCAAGCTAATGGTTATTGACTATGCTGCCAGCCATTCTTACCAGGAAACATCCAGAAAATTCGGGGTGCACCATATCACTGTTTCCGAGTGGTGTAAAGACAAGGACAGGATACGCAAGAAAGTGTATTGCGAAAATTTACAAACATTGCAAACTAAAATACTCAAGTCAGAAACGGCTGAGCAGAAATTTTTGTCGTGGATTCAAGATTGCAATAAACACAAGATCGTCATCAAGCCGACGGATGTACAGAGCAAAGCGAATGAAATTTTGAGTTTAATAGGCGAAGCTGAAGTGAAGAAGAACTGTTGGTGGTTTTATCTCTGGAACAAGCGAGGTATGGATGCCGAAAGAATCTTCGATGACGAAGCGGAAATGGACGTGCTGGAAAAGGAAAGCCGCGTTAACTATCCTCCTGCAGTTAAAGTCGAGATAGCAAAAGTAGCCGAAAGACAAGACGTCCATTCGGCCGCTCGATGTTTTCGAGTTCCACGAAAGCGTATTCGTGAGTGGGTGAAGTGTAAAGACAAGCTAAAATGGCTCGCTGAAAGTGGACAGGTACGTGATCGCACTGCTGCCCTTGGTGGACGCAAACTGAATTGTTTAGATGTGGATAAAGAAGTTTACGAATGGTACATTAATTGTCGAGCCCAAGACACGACTCCCCAGTTATCCGACATCCGTACTAAAGCTTCAGAATTGTTTCTAAAGAATGGATTGAGCAATATGAAATGCAGCAAAGCGTGGCTTAAGAATTGGTGCAAGAAATACGGTGTAAGCAGGAGCCTGCAGAAAGATAGCCAACTGATCAAGTGGATTCTGTCTCGATATGACAAGAACGTGCCCATCACCAATCAGGAATTGGTTGAGTATGTTGTTTCTCAAAAAATGAAAAGTGGCGTCCAATTGAATGACGAATCTGCAGAAGATTATGTGTTTTCGTTTTGCAAACGTTATCCCAAACTTTTGGAAGCACTTCCCAGCATAGGGGAAACGTTTCCTGAAGAAATGGAAGCTGAAGTTGCTAAATTCAGGTGCATGGTTAAGGACTTGCAAGAAGAAAACCATTGCTACACCCCCATGTCGATCGGATGCATGGACGAAGTTCCATTTTTGTTCACAAGTTCCGGTACTGAAAGACGCGTTATCATCAACAGCGGAATGAGTACTTGGAATGCAGTGGTTATTCTTTCTTGCTTAGCGGATGGTGTTATCTTACCACCAATGATAATACTTAAGGGATCTGAAAACTCCTCTCCCCCCGAAGGAATACCTAATGTTGTATTTAGTGAAAAACTTTTAGTGGAAGAACACAGTATAAAGAAGTGGATTCGTGATATTTGGTTAACCAAAGTACCATCACCAAGTATGATTCTAATGGACTGTTTTCAACCTCATAAATATAGCCCGACTCAAGAATTCATGCTTAATTCTGGCATCACACCAGTAATTATGCCTGAAGGCTGCGCTTCTAAACTTCAGCCTCTCAGTGCATGCATCACGAGAAATTTTCAGGAATTAGTTCAAGAGATCTGGAATTCTTCCCGGAGCTCAAATTCCTCTGAAAATCAAGCGGCAACCGTTACTTATCTCCCGTCACCGATCGAAGTGGTCCGGTGCATAATGGATGCTTTCGATAAACTGAAAAGTCAGCGCGACCTGGTTCGACGTAGCTTTATTGTCACAGGCGTGGCTGTCGCTCCCGACGGCAGTGAAGATGCTCTCATCGAGAATTCTGAGTGGTTTGGGTATTCCGGTGATGAGCATGTTTTATCCCCTGCCAGTGAAAGCGAAAATGATTCCGACTTAGATGGCTGACGTTTTCATTATTGAGTAAAATATAGTTTTTCTAAAAAAAAAAGAAGAGAAAATAATGTGCAAAATAGATCCGGTGCGATATGACCTCAGATGCTTAACCTGTGTCGTGATATTCATGTATAGTCTTTTATCATTTCATTCAACCTATTTATTTTCTTGTAAACTTTATGTGAAGATTTTTTCATTTCCTGTTTTAATATAATTTATCAGTTTTAGTGCATTAACTACTTTTACTCTTGCACTTAAATTTTATAGGGGGCTCGTACGGGTATTATTTTGTGCAGCTTTCATAAACACAATGGTTTGAAAAAGTGTGGGACCATTTTTTTCCCTTCCTAATTTAACAAACTGCATCATTTCTTAAAGATTGTATATAAGTATGATTTATTTATGTATATTTTTCCACTGCCTTTTGCTTTTTAGCATTTGATTGTATGCTTCTAAAGCATGACATGACCACTATGCAATTTATATATATATATATATTATAGAGATTGTATAATATTTTGCCTGTATGAGATTATAATTTATATGAGTTAAGTAGTTTGTGAATTGTTTATTGTATAATGGAAAAAAATTTAAATGTTTAGTCTTTTTTTTTATTTTTTTATACTGGCATGGAAAGCTACTGAGATTTTATTATTTTAAAGCAGAACTTAAATGTGCAGTTTTTGTTATATATATTTTTTCTAGAGAACACTATACAAATAATAATTAAAATTAGAAATTATAATGTTTAATTTGTGAACAAGTTTATTCATTTATTTAAGTTTCGCAAATTAATTGAATGAATTTTTAAAAAATTTTCATTGGTGAATTTTTAATCTGAGATATTAGTTTTGAAATTAATATGAATAATTTATATACCAATGATATAATAATAAAATTTTGTGAGTTTTGACGTGTTCTTTCTTCTGAAATGAATTTTTAAAAAAATCTACATCTTAAAATTAAATAAAATTTGGAAATTCCAAGTTCTTTCTAATGAAAGTTTGTTTATCAAATAATTCTAAGTTGTATTTTTTTAACTGTCTTCTTTTTATTACAAATTATTTTTCTCTTAAAAGTAAATTTACTTTGTATTTATTAAATAAAGAATTGAGTTTAAAAATTTTTGTGGGTCATTATTAAAATGAAATTTTTTAGCATTTAAAGTTTGTTGTTCATGTATATTATGGTACTTGTTTGAAATTAATTCTTTGAATTAGTAGACAAACTTTATTAAAATCATTATATTTTAAAATTGTGATTATAAGTAGAAATTTTTTGTGTGTGAAACCCGTGAGTTTTATTTAAAAAATAAATTATATTTTAACGTTTTTATAATTTTTGCCCTATTCATGTCCATTTGTGCAATCATTTTGTGAAATCATCTAGTTAATTTTAAACATTTTTATTTACATATTGCGTTTGTGAGTATTTTTATTTTTTATTCAATAGAACTTATTTTCATGTCTGGTTTTGTATACAAGTCTTAAGATTATTTTTTAAATAAGAGGGATATGTATAATAGTGTACAACCCTTCCTTATCAGTTTTCACTTGGTGAAAATTTTTTAGATGTTATATATATTATATACATATATAAGAAATATAAATATATAGCTATATTTTTAGGCTTGCAACAGTTCTGTAACTTGCCAGAAAAACTGCCTGTCAGTGCAGACATAAAAATCAGACAAAAAACAGATATTTTTAGGATATTTTTAGTTCAAGATATTTTTTAGTTTATTTGGCCAACAATGTCTTCCTACAAATTTAGGAAAATGTGTGTCGTGTGTGTTTCGTGTCAAATATTTTTAGCTTTCCAAACAATTTATACTACCCAGGTAATTTGGAAAATAAATGAGTGGAGCTCCACTGAGCTCCATTATGTTTTATACGGCAAATGGAGCTTGTGGAGGCATGTGTGTTTGCAAACAGTGCAGCTATCTTTTTGGAGGAAGACATGTAAATTCTTGAATTAAAAAAGAAGAAAAAAACGCATTTTCAGTGATGAGAAGCCTTAAAAACTTCCCTTGCCTTGATAGGTATTGAAAATTGAAAGGCTATGCCATGTGTGACATAACCCTTTTTTCAACAAGCTTTTATGAAGGTTGGCCATGCAATGGTCTACTTCCTTCTCTCTATGTATTATATAGCATTTATATTGCAGTGTTTTGAAGTGCTGCGACTGCAGCAGCAAAGCTTTCAAGTGAAAAAAAAAATAACATTCTCTCTGCAATAAAGTTAGAATTGTGAGATATTTTTCCTAAGTGTAATGTACTATTTAGTCAATTTTATATTGCTTTTTAAAATTGTCAGATAATTTTTATATCTGTTTGATTAAAATGCACCTAATTTGTATTATATCATAAAGTTGGCTTGTTATTATGCTAAAATCCTTTTTAAAGCATTGAGTAGATGTATTTTGTACAAATACTTAAACTTGTATTTTGGTTGCAATAGGAAAACCTATTATTTCATTTGGCCCTACAAGAATAAAAAACCCTCTTTCTCTTACAAAAATTTGATGACATCAATTATTTCTTAACTTTCTGTTTAAAAATACCTATTACAGATTCTTGTTTTTATTTTGTTATTATAAATTGTATGCAGTTTAAATTTTTGTACAAATATTATGGCAGTAATTATTTATGATTAAGTACACACATAAATTCAAATGCTTATTAAAAGTAATTGATCAATAATTCTCCATTAAAATCATAAATAGTCAGCATGTTTTGTTTGGCAAGAAATATATTTTAAGTTGTGTTAAAACTTTTTTTTCCCTATAGAATTTTCTTATAAGCTTTTTGATCAAACTTATTAAAATTATTTTCATCTTTACCAAAAATTGGGATTTATTTTTGTTAAAATACAATAGCTTTTGATTATTTTTATTTTTCTGTCATTTCAAAATTTTACTTTTCTGTATTCCAATTTAACTCTTTGATTAAAATTGTTTTTCTTTTGCATTCTAAATTGTAAATGCAAATATAACAAGTACTACATGATGTATTTTGATTATTGAAATGCAGTATGTTTCGTAATGACTGCCCTTAATATATATTTTAAAAAATTTTGTCGAAAAAAAAAAGTATAGTAGTCGTGAATTAAAGACTTAAGTTAGGAATGAACAAAAATTCTATTAAAATCTAATTACTTATATCTGAGTTTTTATTTTTTACTTGTTTAAATATTAACCCTTATGTGTGTATTTATTTATTTATTTTTTTTTAAAAGGTGGTAAATACAAATATATATTAAGAAAGTGAAATATCATATACTCAATCATGAGATTATATTCTTTTAAGTTTTGAAAATTTCAATGTGTCTTATCCTTACTAGTATTATTGCGTTGACCTATTTCAGTTGAATGCCATATATATTGCTTGCATTGAAAGTTAGTATAATCATTATTAAATCTGTTTAAGTATGGGCACCAAAAAGTAATGTATAAAATAACTCCCTCTGTTAACTATGGGTTTAATATAATAATAAGAAGCCTTATCTCATCACTATATCTGCTATATATTATGCTTTTTTCTAATCTTGATTATATAATTGGTATTGAAAGAAATTTGTAAATTATTATTTTTTTTTAATCTTAAAAAAATGGTTAATAATTTTGCTTTCACTGCGAATTTGCGTTTTGTAAATATTGAGATTTTAAAGTTTTATTTGTATGAACACATATTTTTAAAGCTTAGTATATGTTTGTACTCTTTAATTATTTATGACATTTTTTTATTGTATTAGAGCTGAAAAACTTTGTATGTACAGAAACATATTTTTATGTTTCATAAGATCATTTTCATGATCTTCTGTAAGTCACTTTTTTTTTGCTATTTATTATGATGTGTTTAGAATTAGGATGAGGATTGCTTATTCTAATTGAACACATAATTTGATTGAAATTTTAAAACTGTTGTGGAATCAGGGAACTGCTTTTTAAGATCTTTAACTGAGCTCCTACTTTCTCAACGGCTTTCATTATTTTTCCGTAATTAAAAAGTCAATTTCAACTTTTTTAAAAACTTTTAATATTATCTTAAAACTTATTTTTTTAATATTAACTTACAGCGATATTAGGGACTATATTTTAATTAATTTACTTATTTAGATCTACATTCTGATTAGTGTGCAAAGTATGAAACAACTTTTGATCTGATGGTTTTTACAAAATAAGATGCAGTTTTTCAGTGGCTTGATTTTAATTAGTGCAGATTTAAAAAGTATGTTAGAGACTGTGAATTTTTTGTATCTAATTTCATAACTTAAAATGCCATCTTTACAGGTTCTTCTTCCGTCAGTTGGTTGAATTTCTGACTTTCTAAACTTAAGAATTCTTAACATTTTTATTTTGATATTTTATTTATTTCTTATTTTGTGTTCTTTATGATTTATATATAAAACTTCACTGTTTTTTGGACTATCAACACAGCATTCTTTTTTTTAAATTTTTATAAGTATGCAAATAATTAAAAATGTTTCTTTTGTTCAAAATAGTTACACATGTTTTTAGATTTATTTTTTAATGATTTGAGTCATTAGGTATTTTTGTTCTTGCACTCTCTCTCCTATCTGCACTGATATATTTAAAATCTTCAAGCCAATAAAGACTGCATCTTCGTATGTGAAATCCGATCATGAGCCAAAAAGTTATTCAGTTTTTATTTAATTAACTCTAATAAAAGTAACTCATATTTCATTCCTCATTTTTGATTGTAACACATCTTATCTCTTACTTATTTGTAATTGTCGGCAATTTTGATATAAAAAAAATGTTTAGAAAGAGGACTTTTTAAACATTTATGTGATGTGATGTATATATGAGATTCTAAATAACAATGGTTATAAGTCTTTATTAATTTATTTATTTGCATATTTTGAAGTATCCAATCTTTGATACAAAATCATTTTAAATTTGCTAAACTTAGCTTCCAATTTGTAATAGAGCTTTTAAAGTGCTTATTTACTTATCCAGCTACATACTTAGCAGCCATTATTTGTGTCTTTATCACTACTAATATGCCATTTAGTGTTTACCCTAATTTGGCAACCTGGTTGGCACCCGAGCTGATAATTCCTTGACCAAAAAGGAGGCCATAGTAAGCATGTATGTGTCATAATAGATTAATGTTAATGTATATGCTTGACGTGCACATCTGGGATTGAACTAATTATTTTCTGCTCTCAATCAGAAATGAGTTCTGTTTCTGTAAGGTAAAAATATATTTTTATCAATCATAATTTTTTTTAATTAAAATTTATTTTAATAGTAGTTATAAATTTAATATTTTTCATTAATCATAATTTTTATTTTAGTTATAAATATTGTTACTTTTGGCAATTTACTACTTTTGTGAAATTTAATTTAGTTGCAGTTTTAATATTCAGAAACAGTTCCTTTTAAATTAACATTACATTAGCGATTCCGTGTATTAACATTAACAAACTAATCTTATC